AGCGAACGGGTAGAAAGACTAGTTACCCAAGCAGCGGTGGCGTTGGAAGTTCCTTGTCGAAACCTTGTTTCCCTAGTAACCAATAAGTAGGCATCTTTCCCTTGCCTTTGACTTCCGTCGGCCCGCGGTATTCGATCCGATATCCACCCACCCGAGTCAGTCGATCTCTCGTTGCTTCGCTGAGATGAATACGCCAGGGTGCGCCGGTAGACTCCATCCTCGACGCGGTATTGACGGTATCGCCGAAAAGGCAGTATCTCGGCATAGTCAGGCCAATAACACCGGCGCAACAAGGTCCTACGTTCACGCACACGACACGATTGATCGACCGTCGAAGGCTCGTCGAGGAATACAGGTACGACCAACCACGTACGTACGGTCATACGGCCGACCATCACGACCGATAAAACAAACAACTGGTCTGGCGGATAGACGTCGCGACAGAATACTCGACTTACCGGTGTGAAGGCCGATTCGAAGCCTCAGTTGAGTTCCGGGCAGATGTTTCAGTTTGAATTTTCCACTTTGATGCAGCAAATCGAGAGCCATGGTAGCTATCTGAGAAGCGTGGTCCGGTATTCTTACCGGACAACCACCTACGACCATGTAAGCGTCTCCTATCGTTTCCACCTATCGCGAAACGGTGAAAACGGTGAACGTTCCTCGTCGATCATACGCGAAAGATCGATCGGGATGTTTCCTCGCAACTGTCGGCTGTCCGAATATCGGACGTACGCGTCGCGTTGCTCACTCACCGTCTTTCCCTCGTTCACTCACCTTGTACACGGTGTACGCGTTGATCGTAGCGTCGAAGCAGGTGTACAGATCGTTCAGAAGATCAACCACTTGGAACGGGGTCGAACGCGCGGAGATGGCGGTGAAACCAACAATGTCGGAGAAATAGATCGTTACCTCTCGAAATTCTTCGGGATCGACAGGCATGCCTACCTTCAATTTCTCCGCGACAGAGCTGAAACGCAAAGAAATTATCACGACGGACGGTCCGACAGATGAATTTTTGAAAAATAGACATCAACGTCTATACGCGTGTAAATCCACCGTCGAAAATTCCGCGTCGGAGACACGCGCAAAGAAAGAGAGAGATACGACGGGCTTCGTTTACCTTGGCAACATTCGATTCAACAATTGTTCCGTCTTCTTCCTCTCCACGTCCAATTGTTCCGTACGTTCGCGTATCAATTCCTCCAAATTGTTCGAGTACTTTTCCAACATTTGGAACATCGTATCGACGATGTTGACTTTTCTACGAGTATAAATCAACCAGACGTATACGTAAAACGAACGCATCTATAACTGTTCGCGCCAAGGTGCGATCAACAGGTACGAAAAATAAAAAATATATATATATATAT